TAAATAACAATTTTTTGTAAAAAAAACATCCTTAGAGAAGAAATTGTTGTTGGTTTTTAAGAATAAGTTTGTGTCCAATGGTAATCATTTAGGGCTTTAGATGTATGGAGTGACAGACAGTTGTCAAATCAGATATTACGTTGTGATTATGAGATTAGATTAGGGTGTATTACTCTAAGCAAAATAATACTGTATAAGCCAAATAAGGAAATATAGGTGACTATGGGTGTTTAAGGAAGAGAAAGTTTAAGAATGAATTAGTATGTAACCAAGGACTGAATGGGCATTAGAGTTTGGTAGTAGTTACTTGGGGATTTGTGGATTTTGGGAAGTGTATTCTCCTAATTATACTCTGGTTAAACACATGCATTTTATGTTACTTTTAGAAAAAAGAGAGATAATAATAATAATAATATTAAGAGAAGAGAAGAGGGGGAGATGAATAGTAATTAAAGTTAACGCGTTTGTTAAATGTTTGGAGGTAGTGAGTCAACCATGGGAACAAACACAGGGCTCGAGAATGGGTCAGAATCAGAGACAGAAGAGAGAGAGAGAAATAAAATATTGAAACTCCCACATATCAATATCATTCATCTGGAAATAGAATATTAATGTAGATTATAGCAGAGGGAAAGGGACTAAATCTCCCTTCTTTGTCTTCCTTAAATCGCGTGGCGTGCAGAGAGAACCTTCAACTACTGCGCTGCTCCTCCACAGTTTCACAGACATCCCACCGTCCCCATCCATCACATGTTTAATGCCTTTCTCCTTTACTCCAAACTTCATCACTGTTTACCACTTTACTTCCTCGATTTTTTTTTTTATTTTTTTTTATATATATAAAATGTTGTCTACGATATGAGTGATTATTGTTTCATACAACGTTAATGACATCAGTCATTTGACAATTTGATTATAAAAATAATTAGAACTAATAATAGAAATAAGCCAAAAGAATTATATATAATCATCAATTTCTATGCCTTAATTCATGGGATAATCGGTAATGAGTTCATGAGAAGAGTTTGCCTTAGACTTGTAATAAAGTAGTTGTTCTTTGTTTCCCTCGTGTGTAGTGTGTAGATATATTATAGAACATTCTTGTGGGACATTTAATCTTTTACTCTGTGTTTTTCCTGTTCTTTGGTTACAGAAATTAATTTTGATTAGGGTTCGAAAACTAAAAAAGGGTAAAGGGAAAACTAGAGTAAACAATAGTAATCCCATTAAACTTAAGATGCAAATTTATAACTGTAATAAATAGGGTGTCCTTGTATTGGAGAAGACAATGTCGGTCGGGGGAAGCATGCATGAGCATGAAACGTCTTTTCATAGAACAAGAGGTAAACAGCTTTTTTGCTTTCTTCGGGGAACACTCTGAAATCTCAAATACATGTAATATTTAAACATAAATTATTGATAGTATATATGAAGCAAACTTATCTCAAACTTTACAAGAAGATGATTGTAGAGATTATGACTCTTTGAGCATTGAAAAATTTGGTGTTTATTTATTATTAGCCAGCTGTAAATTTGTAAAGTTGAATAGTAAAAGAACCATTGCTTCTCCTTTCACTTACTCAAAAGTAATTACACTAAATAGTGAAGCTTTTACAAACGAGGTACAATGTTTTCAGCATAGTATGACAATCAATGCTCACTGCTCAGCCACTCTCCATTGATATTTCATTTACTAGCTACCTTCTACTGCTACTGCTTTAATTTCTTTCAATCAAAATACTCTTTTCCATAACAATCCTCTTTATTTTGTAATTTTGAAGTTGTCTGTTGTGTTACTTTCACTCATTGGGATGCAAATCTATTCAAATAAAGTTATGGTAAGTCTAACAAGTCTAGAACAAATTAGACACAGTACATTACTGAATCCACTTTATTTTTTAAAATTTTCCCTTTCTTTAACTGTTATCTCCTTCTAGGTGAGATAGATGAAAGAGGTTCTACTTCAAACTTGAGTTGGGTACTGCATGCATTTTTAATTTGAAATCAATATCGAACGTGACAATAAAATCACACATGCACCTATCGATTTAGGATAGCTATCAGACTTTTACTGACTTTGATTCACGATTCAAGAATCTCTTTATTGAGAATTGTGGACTATTGTTTGTGTAAAGAGGAAACCCGTGGTCTGGTTTAATAGCTACTCTTTGAGTCTTTGTGGCCTTACTCTCTGCATTTTCACCATTCGGGAATATAGAAGTCTAACAATGAGCCATTAATTTATTACAGAAATTTTGAATATTGTGGAAGAAATGATCAAATCAGGGCACTTCAACCTACTTTAACTTAACACTTTGTTGTGATGTGAAAGGGAATTATCAGAGCTGCACAGCTTAGTAAGTTCATTAATCAAATATTAAATATATGATTAATGTGACTTGTGCAGCATAATGGGTAGGGTTGAATGAGACTGATTTAATCAGTAAATGAATCCAAATTTAGTGGGACCATCCTAGATTAAAAGTGATTAGATTAATTATTAAAAAATAAGCTAGCAATATATTGGCCAACTGAAATTGTGATCGTGAAATAAATAAATTATATATAGATTTTAGGTCATCGTCTTCAAATATTAGGGAGAAATTTTGCAGATGTTTATTTTGTAGGTTGGAGAAAAGGTTCGAATGTAATCTCCTTCCTTTTCGTGATAGCAAAATCCTGGACAGAATCGAAGGGAACTGTTAATAAGGTGTGCAGGTTCAATGCAATTGATGGAAGGGATATTTTGGTCATTTGACGAGTAACGTGCAATGTTTTTATGAATCGGCGGGAGGTGATGGCGCAGTTGTAAACTACAAATTCGAAATCCCAAAAAAAACCCCTATCTTGCTTCTTGGCTTTGCTTGTTGCAGTGCTCTTCCATGCATTTTAATAGTTTCACGCCGGCTGCGACTGGTTTTCAACACATTATTTCGCTTTAAGTAATTTATTAGTATAAAAATTAAAAATAATAATCTGACTCAGGTTTAATTCTTTTATGAGCTTAATATGGATTCTCGAAGCAACCTCAAAGCTGTGCGTGACAATTATTTTGATGAGAATATATACATATATAATTGTTATTGCTTGACGTGATCATTGACGCCGGAACTGAAAAAATTCGATCGTTTTCGTTTTTCAAAAACGTCTAGTCGTGCAGTTTATGAAATAGTTTTCTCGAAGGGTGGAAACTGTTCCTGTCACATTAATTTCATATATACCTACCTCGAGTGTGAAGGCAAGATTCAAGCAAGTCATTACGTCAAATGAGATTAATCTACGTTGTATATTGATGTCACCACTATTGTCAACAGAAATTCACTGCAATTTGAATTTGATCAATTACAAAAGATTGATTAAATATAGAAAATTAAATGTACTATAATTCGCTGATTCTAAGGTTATTTAATTAGATTATATAAAGAGTGGGACCTTAAATACCCTTTAGAATCTTGTCACATCATTACTATGAATCCAAAAATAACACCACGAATAGTCGAGTAATCAATAAGATTTTTAGTCATTTATTAAAAATCCGAATTTGATTTACTCGATCAATAATAAAAATAATATTAATTTATCTATCGTTAATTTTAAGATTCTAAGAGATTAATGAATATATATAAACTGATATCGATCTCGATAAAAAAAGAAAAAAAAAAAACCCAGAAAAGGGAGACTTGGCTTAGAGTCATTGTCTCCACTCCCATTGAACCCTAATATTTCCTTAGCAAAACCTAGAAATATTGATTTTTCTATTATATACTTAAATTAATAAAAAAAACGTAAACTTTAAGTTTATTCCTTAGTATTTAAGAATGTGCCTCACTGTATTAGTCAACCGTCCATCACCTATTGTCTCTGGTTAATAGCAATTAGCGAGTGCACAAGATTTAAGAAAATACAGTAACAAAATGGTCCCCCAAAAGTCACTTTGATATTAAATTAATAATTAATAAAAAAATAAAATTAAACACTTACATTACATGTACGCAACCAGTTTAATTTACATGTTGAAAGAATGGTAAGAAATGAAAGAGAAGAGAGGTCCTTGAATTCGTTAATTAAATTATGAAAATTATGGAAGGGTAATAATAAAGAAGAAAAGGTACAAGGAGGTGGCGCCGTGTTCCCCCATACAGCCACAATTTATACACGGGACATGATTATTTTTTATGAATTCGATAAATACGCCTCTTTTTCACTGCCCAAATCTCTCTAATCAATAATTTATTAACCAAATGGAATCCCCAACTATACTGCAAGATGACAAACCAACCGCACCATTGTCAATCAATATAATCTAAAAATACTATTTAAACACATTTTCATTCCAACATCCATTTAAGCAAATAAGCAAATAGGCTTATAAATTATTAATTGAGTCAAAGTTTTAATAATCACTCATACCAAAGATAATTTGAATTCAAGATCTTTTGAATAATACATACAAAAATCTCAATCAAAGCACTTGATCATTCAGAGATTGTTTTCATTCAAACTTTTTTTATCACTGTGAATATGTGTTATTATTATTAATTTGTTAATATCTATAGATTTTATTTTATATATGGGATGGTAATATAGATAAAAAAAAAGGGTTTTATATATAGGTGGTAAGGAGAATAAGTGATAGAGTTTGCTTTACAGCTAGAAGTTGGAGTAGTAAATAAGTCTTGTTTGGTGAAGTATAGAAATAATATAATCCAAAGGTGAGGAAGATCAAGTGAAAGCATTGGGCCATTGGTGGATAATAAGTGAGATAAAATTATTAGTAAAATAAAAGGGAAAGGTCACTCCCTCCCCAACAAAAAAAGGAGCGGTTTTTCCGGTCCAAAGGGACATAATAGGAAAAAGTATATGTTGCAGACGTGGCAAAAGATTGAGCGTTAGATTAGGAAGAGATGGTGAAGATCATGGCATACTCTTTGAGATGAGAGGGTGACATCCACATATAGAGAAGGAAGAGAGACAGTTAAATAGATGAGTGAAAGAGTTTACAGTTTTTTTAAGATTTAGATGACAAAAAGAGGGAGGTGTTTATTTCTAGATACAAAAGAAGAAGTGTTCAGAACCTGAGAAACAAAAACTCAAAACCTGCAACAAAGTTACAGAGGGAGAGAGATGGGGGTGATTGAAGAGAGAGAGAGAAAGAGCATGGCGGCTATTGCAGATAGAGAGCAGTAATCCTAATTCCTAAGTAAATAGTAGCTACAAACGCCAACACATACACCAAAACCAACACTTGGATGAGAAAGAAGATCCAAGCTGAAGAAAGGAGTTGAAGACTGTCCCTCAAATATACTCTACGACGCTCTCTCTCTAATTCAACTCACGGATACAAGACAAACAACTTTCGACTTCTCTACCGACAAAATTTCAACTATCGAGGTTTTCACTACTCATAATTTTCATATAATCTGCTACTTTTTATAATTAAACTAGTGAGAAGTTTCTGATATGGATTAAATGTCACAATTGGGGTGTATTTCAGATATAAAGCAAAAACAATGGCTGGGTTTTTCTCATTAGGTGGTGGTGGAGGAGGAGCTGGAGGAAGAGTAGGAAACAACAACATTTATCAAGACCTTCACCAAAATATTAACCCACCAAACGCAATTCCACTTGATGCTTGGTACTGGTACAGAAACAATGACAATCCTTACCAGGGCTTAGACCTATTTCAACATCAAGCTCAACTCCTTCAGCAACGACAGCAGCTTCAACAACAGCAAGATCTTTACTCAACAGCAGTTGGTTTAGGCGTCGGACCAAGCAGGAACGCAATCAACCTGGTTAACGGTTCACCATCAAGATCGACGCCGATGAGAGGTGGTAGAGTGGGGAGCTCTAGTTGTCAAGACTGTGGCAACCAAGCGAAGAAAGATTGTCCTCACATGCGATGCAGAACTTGTTGTAAGGCCCGTGGTTTCGACTGTTCGACCCATGTTAAAAGCACTTGGGTTCCTGCTTCTAAACGCCGAGAGAGGCAGCAACAAGTTGCTGAAATGCAAAAACAAAGGCTAGAAGAACGTTTACAACAAGAAGACCAAGCTCGTGGAGGGAATTCAAAGAGGCAGAGAGAGAATCCGAGCTCTTCTTCTCTTGCCTCAGGTATTGTTTTGTTTGGTTTCTATAAGATATATATATATATAAATATATATGTACATATATATTTTTTTTTTTTTTCGGTTTTGTTGAAATGCTCACAGTTTCAAAGATTGACTCTATGTAGGAATTTAGAGACGCATCTACAGAAAATTCTAAAAAGACAGAAAATAAAATAAAAAGGGAGCCCATGTGTAGCTATTCAGTGGAAAGAAATCGACTCCCATAATGAATATCATCAGCTTTTCTTTCTCTTTTCCTTACAAATACTGTTTTTTACTAGTCCTTACGAGTGAATTGACAGGGAAGGAACTATTTTTGCTGTGTGTCTCGGTCCCTTGTTCATATATGTGTGGCAAAAACGTGTCCGCTTGCATTTGTGTGTAGAAAGACCTTTAATTTTTAACTCGAAGCTTAGATTTTTTAATAATATATTCCTCTGGTTTGGGGTTTTTTAGGGTTAGAAGATGGAGATTTTCCTGAAGAAGTGAGCTTTCAAGTGGGATTCAGGTGCGTCCGAGTGTCAAGCCTCGATGACGACGATGACCAGTATGCTTATAAAACGGCTGTGACCATAGGAGGTCATATCTTCAAGGGTATTCTCTACGATCAAGGCCCTGATAATAACTACACCACTGGTGAGAGCTCTACCGGTGGTGATGGTGGTGGAGGATTTCAGGCCCCAGCAGCGTTGAATTTCATTCCTGCTGACCCCATTCCCACCACTTCAGCCACCGTCTCTACCACTGTAACTGGTGGTCTTGTTACTGCCCCTTCTTCCTCCGCATATCTTGATCCTTCTACTTTATACCCAACCCCACTCCACACTTTCATGGCTGGTACGCAATTCTTTCCAAGCCCAAGGTCTCCTTAAAGCTCCGTGCTCATCTTTTGGTTACTACTGTCTCCCACGCTTGTCACCTTTAGAGTAATATGTGTTTATGTTTTTTTATTTTATGCTAATGTTAATGTTTAAGTAGATATGGCATGATATAACCTTTATTTTAGCATTAGCTCTCAATTAAGGGCAAAAACTTTGGAAGGATGAGAGATAACACTGATGATGTTTAATTCTCCCGTCCAAATCTCAAGGTTTTAGTTACCATTATCTTGTTATATATAATTTATATATTCTCCCTAACATTAATCTTCTCAGTCAAATCTATTCTACTTTTGGGTGAAATTGGCAGGCATGAACATGTAGCGTAGAGTATGGTGTGTTTGTTTCTCTTTTTTTTTTTTTTTTTTTTTTAAATTTGGCTTTTAATATTTTGAATATATGTCTATCTGGGTTGCATTTTCTTTGCTCATTCTGGTTAGTTTTGAACTTGGATGGTTGCCTTTTCCTGTTAACCCGTATGTTTGCCGGTTCCAAATGGGACGAATAATTTTGTTTCGTCTTTGTTTGGACACACTAATCTACAAAGACTTCATCTTTTACATATCGGGGTATGGAAACGTTTCCAACTAGCCATGCAAGAGCTAACAGCGTTCAACTTAGAAAGCTGAACAAAATAAATAAAATAATAACAACAGTAACAACAATAATTCTCTCTCTCTCTCTCTCTCTCTCTCTAGATGTATAAATTCTGGTGTGATCATTATTCTGATTTTGATATTGAGAATAGACTTGCATTGACGTGACCTTGATGATAAAATGGGAAACATTACCTATCATCTGCAGCTCTTAGTTTAATGCACTGCCTGCAAATTTTCTTTTTTTGTTTTTAAAAAAAAGCTGTTGTACGTATAATTACATGGATGCAAAGATAGTTGCATACGTTACAGTATTTCCATTATTACAAGAATGGTGTTTCCTGTTAAGTGAAGATTTTAGAATGTGCTAACCAAACCGTTTCCTTAACTACTAACTTCTGCCCATGCCATTTTTTTCTGTTCTCTTTGCCACAACAGAGAATCTGTATCCTCACATATATATTTCTTCTCACTTATCGAGAAAAGGATTTTGATTTTCACAGAATATAATGAAATGATTTGATTCTTTATTTATTTATTTTTTAAAAATACTTTCTGCATGCTCATATACAATGATATGATCCTTAATCATTCCTGAGATTCATTCTCAGACCTGCTACATTTTTTCTCTTTGTAATTTCTACATGCAAATTAATATAAGATTTCATAGAAGGCATGGAAGGATGTGCTTTATTATTATAATTATTATTACTAAAATTAAATAAAACCAGGTTCATTTTTTGGGAAGGGGAGTGGAGGGTGTCTTGAGGTCTATGAATATTCAAGATTTATTATTGTACATGTTGAGACTTGAGAGCCTATATACTTATTAACCAATATGAATTAACAGGTCTAAATATACGTTTAACCAAGGTTCACTGATGTATAGTTTGGGTTTTTCAGTGTTGGCTTGTTCACTAGTTAATTTTTGAAATAAATCCTTCCTGAAAAGATTGGACAGCGAAGTAGTACTGTTAGTTCCAATTTATTTACCCTTTATTTGACTTTGACTTAAATAAATCTAATTACAACAATAGACTTAAAAAGGCTATTTTTAAGCAAGCCAGAGTGAAGAAGAAATCATATATGCCTTAGAGACACTATAGCTAGTGGTAGACTTTTTATATAATTGTACATCTTTCCAGAAAATGAATGAATATTTTTTATCAAAGACTTATTGAGAATATAAATAACAATATTATTCCATTGCATGGTTTCGAAGTATTAGTGTTTAGTAATCATGCAATGTCATTGTGATAAAAATAAATCAATTAAGCTTTATTATATGTCTGTTTCAATTCAGCTATGATGTGAGGATTCAGGCCTGGATTAATGTCTATGCAGTTTTTTTAATCTTTTAAGAAAAATATATGTGAAGATTACATATTCAAACTAAGGTACCTATTTAGATAATAAATTACAAGTATTCTACACTGAACACAAGAAAAGAAGAAAGTAAAGTTGTGTTGTAATGGCTCAAAATAACAACTTTAAATGCAAATAATAATGTGCTGTTGCAAGAAAAAACGATACTGCTTGTTATTTCAGTGACCCTTAATATTAGGAGCCTAAAGTATGCTTGTTTTTCTCCCACTACACTACACTGTTTTTGAAAAAGTTTGGTCAAACATATCTCCAATTCTTCTGATAACAATTCTGAAGATTTTGATAGATAACAAAATATCAAATGGCAATTCGCAAAGGAAAAAGAACTATGGTTTTAAATTTCTATTTACTATAGAAAGGACAACCCATCACGATTATTATATTCTTTATAATTGAGAAAGAATGGACAATTGAAGTAAATAGAGCATATAAAAGACCAATGACTATGAGGAGTTATTTCTGATGTACATGTGTGCTTTCTTTTGTTTCCCAAGAGAGCATATAGTCCAAAACCAGAATTCAAAGGCAAAAGAATAGTGTAATCGATCACTATAGAAGCAATTACGTTTCATGGCTGTGTCTTAATTTGTCATCTTAATCTAAATTAGAAGTACTTCTTCATTGTCTTGCATCAACAACCGTTGTGTTGTCCCTCTAGCATTTTTTTCCATTTGCAAAGAGCTTTTAGCGCACAAACATTTGGCATGTGAATGGTTCAACTACTTGTAGAATTTCAAAGAATGGTCTGATGTTAGAATTTGCTTTACAGAAATTGTTGATCATTACTTCTCAGTGGAGTTGTTAAAGAGAAAATGATAGTCCTAAAAATGTACAAACATAAGTTTTTGGTTTCGGAATCACCTATCCCTTTGTAGAATGGACTTTATCTTAGTGGTTCCAGTAAGGATATGAAGTAGTTTATGTGTTGATTTAATTTCTTCGCAAAGAAGGCAGCTCCTGATTAATCTGCCATGTTTAAATTAAGACTGTTATTTTTAGTTGGACTGATTCGGTAATGCCTCAACCTTTTAGGCAACTGAACCTCTCTCATTCCTTAATTAAAACATGGATATTGCACTACATATTAATCGAACCCTTAAAATCTAAGCACAAAATTTAATATTACTCCATTCACTAATGAACTCACCACCTTTTATGTAAAGATAATTTGCAAATAAGCAAGGGTTACACTTAATCTATGTCTGTCTGTCTTTCTAAAGCCCGCAATTTTTTTGAGCTCTACTTAATTGATTAAGGGTTTTCAGTAATTTAAATTAACGCATGCTAATTAGCAGTATAGTTTGATGTAATGTTTGCCAGAAAAGGATGGAGGGCCATATAATTCTCCCAATAGAAAAAAGTATTAACAAGGCTTCACTACAGATGATTTTGAGATGGATTGTCCCCATATTTCCTTGTTCAGAAACTTTCACCTTTTACGGATTCTCATGTATCGACACAAAGAGGTATAATTTCCTGAAACCAAAGGAACAAGAAACACACTTTGGTTTCAGATTCCACCCACCCTCTTATTTTTTGTTTCTTTTCTTCTCTGGCCCTTTATACTCCAAGATATCAATGTAATTACCTCTGGACTCATTACACAATTTGTTCTAACTAGCTAGACTTTATATCCTGCAAGTAGTGTTAAACATTTAACAGGCAAAAAGAAAAAGAAAAGGAAAAAACAAAGTTAAAGAGAAAATATGCTTATTGTTCTTTTAAAAGGAACTAATAGGAGAAGAAAGTAACCCACCTCGATAAACATTTGTTCAGCTCAATATATGCATCAAAATTATGCTTTCCATGTCCCTTGACTTGAGAAGTAAAATAGAAGCTGGAAACAAAGATTGGATAGAGGTAGCCTTGGCAGTTCCTACTTGGAATTATGCATTTTTAAAGCGCTAGATGAATATAATGGTTAATGGAATTCCATAATGCACCCCTAGCGAGAGAGAGAGAGAGAGAAATCTTAATAGATTCATTGCAATGATTAAGCATCAATCTCAAACAAAATACCTTGCTGGCTTGCCATGGAAAAACCAAAGGCAATTTCAAAATAATGGGTAGGGTTTGTGATTGTAATGGAATTAGAGCAGTATAGGGTGAGTGGCATTCAGAGCTATAGTAAAGTTAGGCCAGAGACGTAGAAGTAGTAGTAGTAAAAGTACTGGAACATAATTTAGTTTCTTGTTAAAGCCATAAATAATTGCTTGGTCCCAACAAACCTTTTTATCAATTAGTCTCGGCTGTGCTCCTAATGGGTTTGTTGCTCATCAACTTGGTTTTAAGATAAAGCCCTATTTTGCTTGTCAAAAAGCTGGAGACGGTCTGTGTGTAAAACTGTGTATTCCTAGCTTAAAAAAGAGAAGGAAAATCCAAGAAGAAACACTATAATTATATAGGTTTTAACTCTTCTTTACAAAATGGTAGCCTGTGTCTGTGTGAGAAGAAAGAAGGCTGCATGTATTGTGCTTTTAGGTAGGTTTTGAAACAAAAAGCTTGCTCTAACTTTACGCTTCTGTGCAATAGATTTGTTTTTGTTAAGGGAACTCTTCTGTTTGACCTATTGGTAATAGGTTATAACAATTCTGTCTGCGAAATTATGAACAAAGAAAATACATGATTGATGAAGAATTCCGAGAGGAAAAGTCCAAGTCTAACAGTGACAAGCTACCTGACAGTGGAGAGAAAATCCAATATATATATATATATGAATCAAGACCTGTTTCAGAGAACTTGGATCATCTGTTACTTTCTCTTTCTGCTTAGATGGATGGAACTGTACTATGCCTTTACTGAAATTAAGTTGCTCGTTTTTTAGCTCTACCGACCACTTGTTAAAATATTATTTAACTTTTTTCCAGTGGAGCGATACCTCTTTCTTGTATAATTCATATTCCCTTCAAATAAATTCTCCATTTTTGCTTTTTCGACATAATGGGGAACTGGGAAATCATAGCAGTGGAAGTTAATGAGTTTTTTAAATTATATATAACCCAAATTACTAAGAGAATTTATTGGCACATTTATTATAATAATTTAACTTGGGATCCAACAGCAATTAATATTTAATTAGTCGCATCCTTTCAATAAAATATATGCATTTTGGATTGAAGTTTTTTGCATTAATTGTAATATGAAGCGCAAATTTATTGGTATTGTCGCTTCCGTTAATTCTGTCTCCGCAGGCTTCACCCCAACTAAATTTCCAAGCAGTGTCTTTTTTGACTCCTAGGAAAAAAAAAAAAAGCTGCTTAAATAGTTGTAATTTTTATTGATGAAACTATTTGAAATTTTCCCTTTGAATCAGCAGCAGGTTATGGATTAATTGGATGAAACAGCTCCTCTTGCATGGCGACAGAATAAATAAAAGGGTTGTGTGTGGTAAGGGATGAGTATTTTAAAAAGTAAAAAAATTAAAGATGGGAATGTATGCCTTGATGAATCCAAAAAGAAAGAGGGATTAACTTTTATGTCCCATCCATGTCTATAGTCTTCCAAGTGCTTCATAAACTCAAAAATACAGTCGTTAATTAAGTCCATGTACATGGTAGGACCTGCTTCTGCGCATGCTACTACATATTCCCCTTTTAATTTCTTGTCCAAATCAATAACTTTGAAATTACAGGACTCTTGCCATGTCATGCGTCCACCTTTTTTCATCTCTTTATACTAGAAAGGATATAAAGCCTTAACTTCATTATTTTCAATAAATTACTATTAATCCTATTAGGACTTGAAAAAGCCTGTTTCAATCTTGGCCATTTGGCTAACTTTAGGCCTATGGGGATAGGCCCATAATAGTTTACCATTTATGGCCCAGTCCCCAAGCATGGAGACAAGTTTGTCGTAAAATTCCCGTCTCCGAGACGTTCGGATCCTCTGACATTCCAACTTAGAATGTTTCTCTTTGCACCAAGCTTAAACCACTCCTCTGAATGTGGTAAATTTTACTTTGAATTTCATCCACAAAAACAAAACTCAAAAAGAAAAAACTCTTTTCATTCTCATATTATTTCCTCCTGTCTGTCTCTGTGAAATGCAAAAATGGCTCTAGGTAATAAGCGTGGTCCTAAGCGTTCATCTTCATCAACAGCATCAACCATAACAACACTTTTGTTTATAGCATTATGCGTTATAGGCGTATGGCTGCTAACCACCAACTCCTTTACACCACCACAAACAACCACCCGTACTGCCACAGCCACCACTTCCAAAACTTTCTCTGAAGATCCTGACACTAACAAATACGATGACAGAAAAGACCAAACTGTTTTCGAGGATAATCCTGGTCTTCTACCCAACGACGCTATTCAATCAGATGATCAAAATGGTCGTGAAGATAATTCTACGGGTCGTCCCTTTACAAATCAACGACATCATGAACGTCTAAATATAGGTGGTGTTACCAAGCCTGATGAAGACGAGAGGAAACAGATTATTAAAGAGAATGTAAAACGTAGAGAAGATATGCGCAATAAACAGAAACAAGGTGAGACTCAGATATCTGTAGAAAGTGCATTGACCCAACAAAAATTAATCGGAAACAATGGTAACAAGAAAGAAACTAAATCAACTGAAGAAATGATAAAACAACAGCTGCAAGAAGATGCTGGAAACCAGACAGTAAATTCACAAGAACAGGAAAATCAGTTATCGGATGAAGATAATAAAAAGAGAATGAAACAACATCAAGACCAACATGTGCAACAGAAACAAGATACTCCTAAGAATTTCACCACCTTCAGCGACACAACACTCCCGGAAAAACAACAACCAGATGATAAATTAAAGACACCTCAACAAACATCACAGATGCCTCAGAGAACAACGGAACATAAGCGCACCAACTCCAACTCGGGCGATACCGGTCACAGCATTCCACAAGAATCATCTGAATCAAAGAAGTCCTGGTCAACTCAGGCGATTCAGTCAGAAACCCAAAAAGAAAGACGTATAGAGGAGCCCAACAGTAATCATAGGTGGCAGCTTTGTAACGAAACTGCGGGTCCTGATTTTATACCTTGTTTGGATAATCAAAAGGCCATCAGTAAGTTGCCTTCAACTATGCACTACGAGCATCGTGAGAGGCATTGCCCTGAGAAAGGGCCCAGTTGTTTGGTCCCAATTCCAGAGGGTTATAAAAGATCAATCGAATGGCCAAAAAGCAGAGATAAGGTACGAGTGAATAACAATTAACGGTTTGATTGAAAGGATTTGTGAGGGATTGTTCTTGTGGTGTTGCAGATATGGTATCGAAATGTACCGTACACAACGCTGGCGGAGATGAAGGGACACCAAAATTGGGTTAAGGTGAGGGGTGAGTTTTTGACTTTTCCTGGAGGCGGGACCCAGTTCATACATGGCGCTCTCCACTACATTGATTTCATTCAAAAGGTAAATATGTTTTCAGATCTCAAGCAAATACAGATATCATCATACTATTTTTTACATCAAAATTGTGACAGTCATTTTATTAATTCGATATTCGATACATAACTTGTTTTCAATTGAACTTGTGATGTTACAGGCGTTACCAAATATAGCTTGGGGGAAGCACAGTCGAGTGGTATTGGATGTTGGTTGTGGAGTAGCCAGCTTCGGAGGATACCTATTCGAAAGAGATGTTCTAACAATGTCTTTTGCCCCAAAAGATGAGCATGAAGCTCAAGTTCAGTTTGCACTTGAAAGAGGAATTCCTGCAATATCTGCTGTCATGGGTTCTCAGAGGCTTCCATTTCCAAGCAATGTCTTTGATCTTATTCATTGTGCACGTTGTCGGGTGCCTTGGCACATAGAAGGTCCTAACCTAACCTTATTAACCTTCATATATTTTCATTCTCTTTTCACCACTAGTTGCTTTTAATAATATTACAATCTACTTTTTTGTCCAGGTGGTAAGCTTCTATTAGAATTGAACCGAGTTCTGAGACCCGGGGGTTACTTTGTCTGGTCAGCAACTCCCGTGTACCAGAGGCTTGAAGAAGATGTGGAAATTTGGAAGGGTAAAGAATTTAACAAAATATGCTTCATTTGCACTAGTCTTAATTTCATCAATAAGCTTGACATTCAATCTTTTTTTGCAGCAATGTCTTCATTGACTGTAGCCATGTGCTGGGAACTTGTAACCATCAAGATGGACAGATTAAATTCCGTTGGCTTTGCCATCTACCGAAAACCCACCACAAACGAATGCTACGATAAAAGAAACCATAACAATCCTCCAATGTGTACAAATGAGGACGATCCAAACGCTGCCTGGTAGGTGTTTTTAACATGGACAAACAAACTTGACCGTTTGCCAGAAGTTGAGAGCAGGTAATGCTTACCTAACCGTGTTCGATTTTCAGGTATGTACCTCTGCAGTCATGCTTACACCGGGTGAATACTGATAAAGCAGTGAGAGGATCCCAGTGGCCTGTGGAATGGCCTAATAGACTGTACACATCCCCTTACTGGTTAAACAGCTCCCAGATGGGGATTTATGGAATACCATTTCCTCAAGATTTCATTAAAGATCAAAAACATTGGAAACATGTGGTGAACTCGTTATATTTGAAAGGATTGGGTTTCAGTTGGTCCGATGTGAGAAGTGTTATGGACATGAGAGCTGTTTATGGGGGGTATGTTATGCGTTAATGTCAGTGATACACCAAAGATATTCCTAATTAAATTACTTATCAATGCGTCGTGCAGGTTTGCAGCAGCTTTGAAGAATCTTCCATTGTGGGTCATGAATGTTGAGAACACAAATGCTCCTGATACACTTCCCATAATCTATGAGCGTGGTCTCTTTGGAATTTATCATGACTGGTGTGAGTCCTTCAGCACATATCCACGTTCCTATGATCTCCTCCATGCTGATCATCTTTTCTCAAAGCTCAAACAGAGGTACAAACTTATTGATTATAAATAGTTCCCCTTCATTTCCTCAAGCTTTTTGAGTTTGATTTCTTTTCTAAAGCTTGATGAGTAACTATATTTGCTTGGTTTTTAACAGGTGTAGTATTATTCCGGTGATGGTAGAGGTTGATAGAATAGTCAGACCAGGAGGTAAATTGATTGTCCGTGATTTAACAATGGTAATTGCTGAAGTTGAGAACTTGTTGAAATCCCTACATTGGGAAATTCGTTTCATCAACTCCAAAGACCAGGAAGGGGTACTCAGTGCTCAGAAAGGCGATTGGCGGCCTCAGACATATCTGCAGGCTGCTTCCTCATGATGGTGAGAACATATATTTTAAAATACATTGTGCAGAGTCTTTTAGGCAGCAACGGCGACATTTCGCCCTTTGTAGTAGTGTCATATAAACTATAATAGAATGCAATATCTTACTGCTGAGAATCAGCAAGATAGATGTGTCTATTTTTGTCATTTGATGTAAAACTGTAAGCAATACATACACTGCTACAAGATCCTGTATTGTACTTTGGATTTATAACGTTCTAGTATGAATTTTTATTTTAGTTGTAGAGCCGAAAGTATTTATTGGGGTTATAAGCAACTAAGCAAGTGTCAGTTAGTGCTGCCGAGTTCATTACTTGAAATATTTGAATTACAGGGCTTCGCAAGAAAAGATGCCCCGTATCCAGCACCCAGAAAAATTCAAATCACAATCACAATAGAACGGCTATTTAGTAAAGCTTAAGTATGGCCGCAAAGAATAATTAGTCTTATAAATGACAACAAAAAAATATTCTGCTTAATCTTATGTATGATATTAACCGTCAATAAAAACCAAACTTTAGGGAGTCTCTGCTATTAGTTCCTCCAGGATTCTAGCCTTATCTTAAGTAGGCTTACAAAACCATGGAATCACTCTGGATTGTCAAGATTAGCACTGTTATTTAAAATAATAATAAAAAAAATCATATATAAGTGAAACTCTAGGATCACAAAAACAAGAGAGAATGATTTCTTTTGATTGACTATTCATCCAGTGGCTTTTCATGTCAATAGGGCAAGAAAACTCTACAGATAAATGGTGGTTCAATTTGATGTTATCTACAGGGATTTCGAATACAAGAGTGCACTAAGTAAATGGATAGCCTAGGTCCTATTAATAATACAATTCTAAACCCCAAAACTAGCCTACTTTGTTCATTATAGACAACCCCGCAAAAGCTAAGAGCCTAGCACTTCTAACCTTCCCTGAATGGGTATAATATAAATAGGATTTCAGTGAATCTATACCACCAAGAAAAATGGATATTACAGAATGTTTAAAACATGATAACTGGAACCACCTTAAAAGGATTTTCATAACTTCAAAAATATTCACAGGCATTCAACAAGGTTAAAAAAAAAAAAAAAAAAAAAAATCTGTAAATGCATATTAATTCTCCTACTAAAATGCACATGTATCTTGGTGGAACCAAATAATTGTAGCTATCAGTCATTTCATAATTGACCTTAAGGTCAAATATATCAAAGCCAGCAACACAAAAGGGCTGGGTGATCTGATTTTTAAGAACTAAAATGCAGAGAACATGTACTCTCAATTAGTTCTAATTGCAGAATCCAGGTAAACAATAGAAAATTATCTGCTAATACTAGTTTTGGTCAGATATCCCTTGAAATAGAGTGAAACATTCTATTTTACCTCAGACTTGAAATAACATGTACTCCAAATTCCTTTTAACTGAGATTTCACAATAAGGACATCTTAGGATTTCAGTACATGATAAATATATCATTTTAATTTTGTATCAGAAGTCAGAATAGTGATTATACTTAGGCAATTAAAATGAAATGATGAAATTTTCAAGAGTCCCACTATTCAGTTTCACTCTACATACACACTAGAGCTATTTAAGAAGCATCAAAATTTTCTAATCAATACAGCAAATGATTTTCCACACCCCAAACTTACCATATAACAAATCCTTTTTTCCCCAAACATCAAGTTTTCATTGGCTGAGGGCTGCTACATTAACTCTTTTGGCTAACATCACTAAGCTATAAAAAAACCTCACCATATGTTTTATGTATCTCAGACTCCAGGAATGATTTGTTAATCCTCATATGTACCTCCAGATCAGATGTTTTTGTTTCACATCATACCATCCTAATATCTCATTAACTGGTACCAAGTAGTTTCTGCAACTGACCGCTCACAACAGCAGCTTTAAGATCTGAATCCCAAATGTCAAAGTAAAACAGAACAATGAGAATAAAGAAGACGGTAACATATAAAAGCATCTAGCATTCCAAGGTTAAGGAAGACAGAGAATTTTAAATTAGAGAGCTGAGTAAACCATCAGAACCACCAACGTGTTTGCCATTCACAAATACTTGTGGAACAGTGCGTCGACCAACCAGATCTAGAAGTACATACTGAATTTGAGCTCCGTCATCTGCAAATGTTCACAAGCACAGAGCAGCTTTATAGTTAACCCTTTTCAGTATTTATAAAAAGGTAATAGCTAGCGAAAACAATAACAGCAAATAGTCACCTCGAAGATCAAGCTCCACAACAAGAGGCTGCTCATGTAGCTCAGCAAATATGCGCTTGGCACGCAAGCAATATCTAAGGAAAAAAAACAAAAGAAAGCACAATTTGTATGAAAATTCACAAATGATGTGAGAGAGAAAAAAACATAGAGCAATGATCACACCATATGCATTTCTGGCTCCAATTGATGGTTTGATCATTTAACACAACAGTCAATGAATTCAAACAAAACTTTGCCTTTCATCTCCGACAATTTTGACGAAATTAAAACATAAACAACACGATCTAGTTTCATACTCAAGGAACATCACATACACTAAAATTATATAAAACAGACATCTCTCTAGGTTTACTATTTTGAGTTTTAAACAAATCAAATCATAATTCTTAGAGTAACAGTCACCAATTTGTGTTGTACANGATTATACTTGGGCAATTAAAATGAAATGATGAAATTTTCAAGAGTCCCACTATTCAGTTTCACTCTACATACACACTAGAGCTATTTAAGAAGCATCAAAATTTTCTAATCAATACAGCAAATGATTTTCCACACCCCAAACTTACCATATAACAAATCCTTTTTTCCCCAAACATCAAGTTTTCATTGGCTGAGGGCTGCTACATTAACTCTTTTGGCTAACATCACTAAGCTATAAAAAAACCTCACCATATGTTTTATGTATCTCAGACTCCAGGAATGATTTGTTAATCCTCATATGTACCTCCAGATCAGATGTTTTTGTTTCACATCATACCATCCTAATATCTCATTAACTGGTACCAAGTAGTTTCTGCAACTGACCGCTCACAACAGCAGCTTTAAGATCTGAATCCAAAAGTCAAAGTAAAACAGAACGATGAGAATAAAGAAGACGGTAACATATAAAAGCATCTAGCATTCCAAGGTTAAGGAGGACAGAGAATTTTAAATGAGAGAGCTGAGTAAACCATCAGAACCACCAACGTGTTTGCCATTCACAAATACTTGTGGAACAGTGCGTCGACCAACCAGATCTAGAAGTACATACTGAATTTGAGCTCCGTCATCTGCAAATTTTCACAAGCACAGTGCAGCTTTATAGTTAACCCTTTTCAGTATTTATCAAAAGGTAAAAGCTAGCGAAAACAATAACAGCAAATAGTCACCTCGAAGATCAAGCTCCACAACAAGAGGCTGCTCATGTAGCTCGGCAAATATGCGCTTGGCACGCAAGCAGTATCTAAGGATAAAAAACAAAAGAAAGCACAATTTGTATGAAAATTGACATATGATGTGAGAGAGAAAAAAACATAGAGCAATGATCACACCACATGCATTTCTGGCTCCAATTGATGGTTTGATCATTTAACACAACAGTCAATGAATTCAAACAAAACTTTGCTTTTCATCTCTGACAATTTTGACGAAATTAAAACATAAACAACACGATCTAGTTTCATACTCAAGGAACATCACATACACTAAAATTATATAAAACAGACATCTCTCGAGGTTTACTATTTTGAGTTTTAAACAAATCAAATCATAATTCTAAGAGTAACAGTAACCAATTTGTGTTGTACAACAGAAATTATTCACCCAGCCTGCCAAACACAGTTTTTCTTCTATGTTATATAACTCAATAACAAGCACTACTCATAAACAATTGATCAGTTCAATCAAAGCCCTAACTAAACCACAATTTATTAATTTCAATATCCAAAGATTTTAGTCGTATCATTATCACTGTTAGGCGTCAAATTAGGCTATGCAACAAAACAAAATCTTGCCTTTTTAGTGATTTTTTTTGTTTTTGTTCTTCTTTTTTTTTCCTTCTCAATAGCAAATTATTAATTCTCAATGAAATTCGTATATGATAAAGCGTCCACTTCACGATCATAATTCTTATGTGTAACTTCATTAGCAGATGAACATCAAAAGTATAATACACAGAGAAGTAAAACGTACGGGCAGTAAGATTTGGAGAAAATGACAATTCTGTTGGAGAAGATGGAGTTTTGGACAAAAGCGGCAGCTGAACTGTCGGCTTCTGTTCTCGTCGGCACATCTCCAACCAGCAACAAGAGCAATACAGCAACGACGTTAAGAAGAAACTGCAACAGCAAACTGCACTTCTTCATCTCACGACAGAAAAACAAATAACGATCTCTCTCTGTGAAGTGTATCCCTCTTCTTTTTAGTGTGGGCACGGACGTAGCGCGCTTATAAGATTGATTACGGTAGCCGTGAACCCGAGATGGTGTCCCACGATCATAAATATGGGTCACTATGCGGTTTCCGCATATGCACGGAAAATTTCATTGAACGTGGCGGCAACTAACATGACTAAACGTGTTAAACTGATTGGATCCTGGACCTTACCTCGTTGCCATAGGGCACGGCTTCTGGTATAGTACTCGTGTTGTTGTGATGGGTCCAGTAAGGGTTGGGCTGAAAGAATGAGAATGGGTGTGGCCCACTCTGTCCAATTTACTTGTCTAAACATGAAAGAATAACGATACGCTATTTGTTCAATTCAGCATACTAATTAATACATTCTATAATTTCGTGTCCAGTTTATATCTAATAAACTAACCCTTAAGTGACTGAATGGTTCGATATAGACTTTTAGAAGTATTACTTAAAAGATTCTGAGTTTGAGTTTCTTCTCAGTTGGTAATTTCAAGATTCCGAAAGATTAGTTCGATTGCTAATAAGGCTAGCTATTAGAACTCTTAACAGGCTGATAGTTTTTGAGGTCTCGAGAGATTAATTCAGCTATTAATAAGGGTGGTTATCATAAATTGGCCTGATCGTCTTCGATACCAAAAAAAAAAAAAAAAAAAAAAGTATATATCTTATAATAATAATTTTGTTGGGATGGGTTTGTTGTTTTTCTGCGTCTTATCGGTGCAGAAATAAATTGTGGAGGAATGGTACGTGAGTTGGAAAAAGATCTAAGCTGAAATTTTATAAAATTTATTCAGAGTAATACTAGCTTTACAAATAAGCATACAAAGAGTCAAATTCAACCCTTAAAATTTATGATTACCTCTTTTTCTCTTTTTTTTTTCTTTTTTTTTTTCGAGAGCTAAATTTAACTATTTGTATACTCTTTGCATAACTTTTTATATATCCTTTGTAAAACTAGTATTACCCATTTACTTATGGTTTGCGACAATTATAATGTTTTCTACACGGTCATTACTCATTCTCTGCCAAGTGAAATTGAAGGTTGTAATATCACAGAAAAGCATCAAATCAAATTATCAAATCCCTTCTCATTATCCAATCAATGAAGAACGAAATTCCTCAAATGGGAATTCAACGAATCATCGACAAATTGATAAAAATCGTATCAACAAGACATTACAGATCTTAAAGCCAACTAAAGAACAAAGAAAAAAAATAAGGGTTAATTGGATTTGGTATTGGTGGAATCGGTTTTATAAAGCTTATCATAAGCCTCGAGCTCCTCATAATAAACATCCCACACGCATCTAACACATCCGCTGCCACAACAATCCCCTGGCTCCGGCTTTTCAGGCGGCGGCGGCGGCGGCTGCTGTGGCAATTCCTTTGATTCTTGATTTGGTTCTTCTTTCTCCTGCTTGATTGAAACTTGATTGGCGTTGGTTTCCATATGTTTTAAGCAAAAGACTCGTGAATCTTGAAATCTCTCGTTGAAGCTTATATTCTTAGCGACGCGTTTTAATGTTAGATCTGGCCGTAATCTCATGACAAAGGGAACATGGGTTGGTATCGGGATACCGAATTTGTTGTGTAGATGATGAATTTGATTGGCTAACGGTGGCGCAGACGCATTGTGGTAAGGGACGGCTGTTCCCATACACAAAACGCAACGCAATTACGCAACTGCTCAACTTGTAACTAATCTTCTATAACAGGTCACCAGAGCGCCTGGATTTTACAATTCACGCCCATTTGTTGACTTTTCTTCATCACCAGAGCGCGTGTATTATTAAACATTTTCATTGTTTAATGCTTCACATAATATTCCATCCCTACCCTATATAAGAAGATTGAGTACAAAAAAAGAAATTCATCATCGTATTCAGTTTTTTACTCATTTTCTATCATGTTCACAAATTTTTGTAAAATTTATTTATATATCTAGCATTATATATAGATACTAGTTTTTTATTGGTTGGAAATCACCATTAAACTAGATTTCTTACACTAATGTTTAGGTTATGTTTGGTTCAGGGTGATATAAGATTAATCCTATAATCTTTGTTTAATTTTTAAGATTCACTCATTTGGTTGTCAAGTAATAAAATATTACGTAATCTTTTATTATAAATAGTGTTTACTATTGATAATATTGGAGATAATCAGATTATCTTCCTAAGGGGTGTTAATATAAAATTATCAAAGTAATCTTAAATTTGACTCTATTTTACCCTTAATTTTTTATTATTTCGGACACATTTACCATCATATGTCTACCAAATAACAATTACCCAGAACCCCTACATTTAAAAATATAGCTAAAACACCCCAATCACAAAAAAGTTTAAAAGTTAACAAAATATCTCCAATCACCCAAGACCATTGCTAGCCACTAGCCACTACCGTTGGTCGCTTGCGAAAGTCATCATATCGAGGCAAGATTGGCAGGATCTTGCCGGTCGTGTGCCGGTAAAGACGTTTCTAGGAAATGACCAGATCTGGCCGTTTCACGGCAAGCCGTGAAACGCCATAGATCTAGCTATGAAATGGCTGTCATTTCACAGCCAAAGATCTGACCTTTTCACGGATCCATGACCGGATTAAGCCTTATCAGCACATTACTAGCCAGATCCAGCCGATCATGCATCATTACGACAACTGCCGACGATGGTGGCTAGCTACCGACAGTGGCTTGGGGTGGGTGTGGATGATTTTACTACAAATTAAAGTTTTATATGGCTAGAGTGTTTTAGCAAAATTTCAAATATAGGGAGTTAAAAAAATAATAATAAAAATAATATTATATTATTATTTAAAAATGAGGGCGATACAGTAATCTATATAACATACTCATTCATTTATCATTCTAACCAAATATATTATGCTAATTTATTCCAACCAATCAAATATATTTCTCTAAAGATTCTCTCGTAACCTATCTTTTCAGTAATACAATATTCTCTCATAATACTGAACCAAACGCACCCTTACTGTGATGTTCTCAGTAGTTTCCTAATCCAGATAATACAATGACAATATTAGGTGTAATGCATATTGAATGCTATCCAATGACATCAATTCTAGCTTCCACATACTGTGAAAACCTATATTGTACATCTCATCTGATAGGAGAGTTGACGGGTTATTTTTATATGTAAACAGGATTATGCTACTTTTTCAACCCAAGCAGTAGAAGCAATAAGTTGAAGTAGTCAAAACGGTATGCGAATCTGAAGAAATTTATCTTGAAATCATTCCACGGAGGATACCTTGGTTCCATCTCAAGGAAGAAGCTTCTTTGCATCACTGGTTTTTCATGGCTGAAATTATCAAACGAGTACTTCCCGTGGTACCTTCCAAACCCGCTCTGCCCAACACCTCCAAATGGTAGAACGTCAGCCGCATACTGTAAACAAAGTAAAAATTTGAGCAAGATTTGCGTTAGTTTTCTTCAAATTTTGTGTTAAATATCAAAATTACTATCATAGTAAACTAAAAAACGGAAGCAGAGCAGTACTTGAACCACGGTGTCATTAAATACTACACTTCCTGAAGATGTTTCTGATAAAATTTGTCTCTTGAATGTCTCATCTTTGGTGAAGGCATAAATGACCAGAGGCTTGGGCCTAGAGTTGACAAATTCAATGCTTTCTTGAATGTTATTTAACTGTTAGAAAAGAAATTCGCTTCATTTACAAAGCAAACATGATGTCAAAAACTTGGTAAGCACAGAAAGATCAGAATATTCTTACTGTGATTATGGGAAGCAGTGGACCAAAGATTTCTTCAGTCATGATCTCGGAATCAAGTGGAGGATCTAACAAGATGGTAGGCTCAATGAACCTGTTCGAGTTTGCACTGAAATCAGGCTATTTATTGGAATAAGACCATTTGGAAGTCTTCCAATTGAGTTTGGAGATTGCAAATAAAGAGATCATATAATCCTAGTTTTCCTGTGGCTTTGGCAGACCAAAAATTAGCTGGCTCCAGCTAATCCGGCATGAAAACTTAGGTTTAACAATGTTTACATGCTTGCTATACCCATCAGAGTAACTTACAAATTTTCTTCATTTGATGAACCGCCATGAACAATGGAAGCCGCGACACGAGGATCTTTAAGAAGTTTGCTCAGTCTGTCAAAGTGGTTTTTATTGACAATTCTGCTTATGCTGTTTGAATCTTTGGGGTTTTCACCAAAAAATTTCTTGATTGTTCTCTTTAGTGAATCAATCTACCAAAGAATTATGCAAGTCAATTTAAGATTTTTATTTTAAGCACAATACAAGGAAATTTTAGTCGAGTGAATGTAATACATACCAGAGTAGAAGCAAATTTCTTTTCCACAAGTACATAATCAACTCCAATACATATTTGCCCATTGCAAGCCGCCCACTTCCCACCAACGATTCTTTTGGCCATCACCTTAAGATCACAACAATAACAAGAGCAAACTAAAATCAAATTGACTAGCTAGAAACTAATTCAATATAATGTTACCTTTCTGTTCTAAAAGACTTTAAAGCATTGTAGATGAAGTAAACAGTAAGTCAAAAGTACCTTTATATCTGAGAGGCTGGACAGAGTATCGACGACAGCAGGGCATTTTCCACCCAGCTCTAGAGTGACGGGAGTTAAATGTTTAGCAGCTGCGGTCATAACAATGCGACCCACTCTTGTACTTCCTGAAGATATATTCATAAAAATGCAAAATTTTATAATTCTTATCATCCCCGCCCCAGTATTGCATGCTGAGTAACAAACTACTAATGTGCATTTGATTATTAATTTGATGAAATAGTGGTTAGTGCACATCACGTATTTCATCTGTGAAAGCCTGACAGAATATTTTAGATTCATGAATTGCAAATTTGGGAAGTTATATATATATACCTGTGAAGAAAATTTTGTCCCATTTCTGTTGCAGTAGTTTCTCGCCGACATCTGCTCCACCATTGATGACCTTAATGGCATTGCAATCCAAATAAAGAGGGATGGTCTCTTGTAGAAAAGCAGCACATTCTGGGGCTAAATCTGAAGGTTTTAGCAACACTGTGTTTCCAGCAGCTATTGCTCCTATCAATGGGTCCAATGCCAGAGCTGCACCCAAGAATACCATTCATTCATGGCTACCAGAAAACTTTAGTATGATATAATAGAGTTACGAAACAGGATAAAATTCATGTGAAGTAATGAGGTTGATAATCTCCATCAAAACGCATTAGTTATAGAAA